GTGCCCCTGCACTTGCAGGGAATGGATGAGGGGAGATCTCCCCAGATGATCCCGCGCTACGGAGAAAAGTGGGGTGTGGGGGGGAAATCCCCATGTCCCTGCTAAGCTGGGGGAAAATTCCTCCCTGCCCCCTTCTCTCCATCTGCTGGGGAACAACGCAGAAAATCAGGGGTGGCCCAGCAGTGTGGGCCCCAGAGTAGATTTCCTCCCTTCCTCCCCCACCCTAGATCCAAGTTTTTTTGGGGCGCAGGGAGCATCCTTCTGCCCAGGCGGACGGAGGCCCGGAGCCGGGTGGTGGGGTGGGCTCCAGATGGGAGCTAACGGGTAATATCTTCAGTCACCGCTGTTATTTAGCCGTGGGGGGTGGATTCCCCCCCACTCGGTGCTGCATATTAACCGCCCCCTGCCCCTTTCCTCCCCCCAGGATGGCAGTGTCCGAGTCCCCGCGATCCTCCAGCCGTTCCTGGGCGTGGAAACCATCGTCAAACCCGGCTACGCCCCCTTGAAATACATCGGGCCCAACCAGCCCAAGCGCCGCTGAGCCGCCTACCGGGAGCGGCCATAACGGGGACCAGCCGTCGGGGAGCCCAGCCGGACGCAGACGAGACACGCAAGCGCACCCCGGCAGCATTCAGAGGGGCCTTTCCTGGTTTGTTTTCCGGCTCTGAGCCGCACCCGGGTTATTCTCTTTTCCCCCCTGGGTGGCGCCCAGACCCGGTAGCCCATGGGACCCGTCCCTTCTCCTGCCCCCTCGAGTTGGTCTGCGGCACGTGGATGGGGCCGATGTGGATGGGGTCTGAGGTGCTTCAGAAACCCCAAGATCCTTCCGGCACTAGATTGCGCTGCCTGGAGCCAGACCCCAGCACTGGCAAGAGGCAGGGAACTGTCTTCTACCCAGGACTCCTGGGTTCCTCCATCAGTAACCCCTGGCGAGGGGGAGGAGAGATCTGGCCTACAGGCCTTTTGGGGGCTTGCTGGGGCTATGGCTAGATTCATCCCCCCCTTAACAATTCCCTCTCCGTGTCCTGCTCTGCGACCTCACTGCCGGTACCAGCCATGACCGGCGGAGCTGATGGCTGACGAGATCGAGAGCTTTTCGCCCCGCGGGCCGCCGGTTCTCATCCGACTCGGGCCGGCGCTGGTTGCGGCGTGTTCCCATCGGCCAGCCCTTTGGAGAAACGAGTTTGCCGGGTCTCAGCCCAGATCCCCGGTGGAGCCGCGTCGCACAGAGCAGGATCGGCACTGATTCTCGCCGGCAGCCTCAGCGGAGAGGCAGAACGGGCCATGGAGACTAGTCTCCCCCGTTGGCCATAGCCAGGGTCTCCCAGGGGCTGTGGCAGCCAAGCAGGGGGGCAGTGTGTGGAGTGGGGAGGTTCGCCCTTGCAGCTGCCCATGCTGTGGGGAAGGAGAGGGGGATCCAGGCTCCCTGATCGGTTGCTGGACTGACTGCAGGGGGGGGCAGGATCCCAGCCAAGGAGCTCAGAGCGGGAGAGAGATACCTGGGTGGGGCATGGGGTGCCTAGAGCCGCCAATCAAGGGAATGAGATTGTGCCACCTATTAAATCTGCAATTGAAAAAGGTTTTTCTATTCTCAAGGGTCACTGCTTAAAACACAAGCTGGTTAGGGAAGGGAGCAGGGGGAGGGGGGGTCCAGTGGGTTACAGCATGGGGGGTTGGAAGTCAGGACTCCTGGGTTCTCTCCCAGCTCCGCCACTGACTCATGATCTTGGAACAAAATCACTTTGTTTCCCACTGTATGGAACGGGGGTCACCCCTCCCCTCCTGGCTTTGTGGATCCTCGGCCTAGCCTTCCCCAGCCAGGTGGGAGGGACAATTGGTCTGGAAGGGCCTGACCCAGCATCTCCTGACCTCCGTTTGCTTTGGCTCAGCCGTCGGGTGTCGTGTGCTTGGGAAAACTCTCCTGCCTCAGGGAATTCCCTTTGCCCCCGCGCCTTGAGATCTCCAGTCCCGCTGCGTTGGAGGGGGAGGTGCGATCGACTGTGGCAAATTGATCATAATTGTTCCTGTGGTCCAGAGTCACCAGGGAACGCCCCCCGCTCCTCTGTACTCCAGCCGTTATTCCACGGTGGAGAGTGACTCCTGCAGGACAGGGGGCTTAGAGGGGTGCAGGGTACTGGAACAGCTCCCCTGGGCAGTGGTTTCCCTGCCTTCGGGGCAGGATCTGACCCTTCGTGATTGTACAGAACTGCTGTCCGCCACTGAGAGGCAGCTGCCTCTGAGGCGGGGGTGCGACAGCTGCTTATAGATGGACTGTTTACCCAGCACTGAGATGCAGCCACCTCTGGGGTGGAAAGATGGCCACTGTTTATACAGGGATCGCTCCCCCTGGGCTGAGATGCAGCTGCTTCTGGTGTGGAACGCAGCAGCTGAGCAATGCCGACTGCTCAAAGAACAACAGACCCCGGTGCGACTGGATGGGCGGTAGCCACGTTGGGATCCCAGAGACGTGGTAGGACAAATCTGTTTTGTCTATCACCTCTGCCCTTGCTGGCCAGTTTCAGAGAGAGACGAGTAGTCCAGGTGCATGTGAAAACCTAACAGCTGCTTAGAAATTTGCCCTGCTGCCCGGTTTGATTCAACTCCTGCGTCCCCCCGGGGCGGCTTTACTCCCGTGAAGGGAACAGGTTGCAACCCTTTATGCCTGGCTCAGCCTGACAATAGCTCTGCCACAAAGAGGCCAGCGGTGTCTACGAAGGCGAGCGTAGAACAGCTGCTAATTGCCAGTTCCCGGCTGCGCTGAACAAAGCGAGAGGGAACGGCCCTGGCCCCGTGTCCATTTATTATCCCTCGCGAGGCGCTCGGGCCGGGAGCCAAATTCTTCAAACTCGGCTGCCAAAGCCGGGCCTGGAAATGGGTCGCGATGCCCCAGAGCGCTGAGTCTGAGGGGAGAGCGCCCCCTAGAACGGCAGCGGGACCAGCCCTGGCTGCAAGGGGAGAGCGCCCCCTACTGCGCCCCCACAGCACAGCGCCCCCTAGCATGGAGGTCAGCACTGGGGGGGGGGGGTTTCCTTTGCAAAGAGTCAAGTTACCCCCCAAAAAGAGCATTTTTCAGGGCACCAAAACGGTTCGTAAATTTGGGTTGAATTCGGCAAATAGTTTTGGCTGAAAAACTGGCCATTTAAAAAAAGGCGAATTAGCTAAATTTCTAAATGAAACTAGTAAAAGAAATGGGAGCGGGGGTTGGTTTGAATACAGCGTTCGATCCAACGCACAAACAGGGATTTTTATTTTATTTTATTTTTTGCATTTCGGTGAGAAACCAAAAAAACTTCGTTTTTGGCTCAAACCCACCTGATTTGGGGGCGGGGGGGGCAAAACGACCAATCATTTGCTCAGCTGTAATCAGCACTGATTGTGGGGGGAGAGCGCCCACTACTGAACCTCCCGCTGCACTGCACTGGGGTCAGTGCTGACTGCGATGGGCGAGCGTCCCCTAGTGCCCCACTGGGGTCAGTGCTGACTGCGAGGGGAGAGCGCCCCCTAGTGCCCCACTGGGGCCAGCGCTGACTGTGAGGGGAGAGTGCCCCACTGGGGCCCAGCAGTGACTGTGAGGGGAGAGCGCCCCCTAGTGCCCCACTGGGGCCAGCGGTGACTGCGAGAGGAGAGCGCCCCACTGGGGTCAGCGGTGACAGCGAGGGGAGAGCGCCCCCTAGTGCCCCACTGGGGTCAGTGCTGACTGCGAGGGGAGAGTGCCCCCTAGTGCTTCACTGGAGTCAGCAGTGACTGCCTGTGGCTCACCCCACTGCATCTCCCGCATCACTTCCCACGGTGGTGGACATCATCGCGGGCCTCAATTTCTCCCACCAATTCAATTAGAAGTGGTGCTAATCAGGCCCTGGATGAAAGCAGTTGCATAGCGTTGCTGTGAGTTATTCAGTAGCTGCCCCCTAGAGCCAGCTGCACCTGGATGAATGCTCGCCATAGGAGCAGCTGCCACGTTTCCACCCAGAGGTGGCTGCATTGTAATGCTGGGGGAATGATCCTTATCCAGGCAGCCTTAGAACCTATGATGCTGATTGTAATGCACTTTATTACGGAGTCACTCCGGCTCGATGGCCAGGCCCATTGCGTGGTTCCGGCCCGCGTCCTGGCATCCGCCTGACTCCTTTGCTCGCCATAGCTAAGCCCTGGCCCCATTCCACCCCCCTGGGTGCCGGAGAGCACCGGGAGCAGGCAGCTAGCTGAGAATCACCCTTAACTGACTTCAGACTGAAACTGACCTGGAGCTGTAAATCCATGAGGCCCGGAGCATCAGCTGCTGTGAATCAGGGCAACGGAGTGACACCGGTTTACACCGGCTGCAGATCTGGCCCCATTGGCTGCAACGGAGTGACGCCGATTCACGCCGGGGGAGGGGGAGGTCTGGCCCCAGCTTCAGAATCAAAAATAAGAGGGTTGTTATAGGAACGACATTACAAAAAGATGAGCTGGAGTCAAGTTTTTGAAGGGAAGCGCGTCGTTAATGGGGGTTGATTTAAAGGGCCAGCAGCGCGATCACAATGATAATTTAATTAAAGTGAACGATGCATTTTTCAAGCCCCAGGTGTCGTTGGCTGGGCTGGTTCATATTTCCCGAGAGGAGCCAAGCAAGGAAGTGTCTTATATTTGTCATCGCTTATGCTTGTGTGAGTTTCACCCCAGCTGGGGAGCACCTTCCCCCGGAGCTGCTGGGGAAGCGGGGGCTACTTTGACTGGCGTGACTATCATGGCACTTTGCTTAGTTAATGAAGTCTCGCACCCACTTCTGTCCACACACAAATCAGTCTGACTCCAGTCAGCAACACTCAGGACCCAGCTCCTGGGACCCTTCTAGAGCCCGAGTCCTGTTGCGACTCGGGTCCAGGCCCTGTTATTTTGCAGTGTGGACGCAGCTCAAGCCGCAGACCCGGGTCAGACGGGCTGCGTGGCGCAGGGCGGGCCCGGATCCAGCAGTTGTAAAGCCGGGTTTACAATGGAGGGTGGACGGTCGAGCGCTGGCTTGGAAACAGTGTCCACAAGATCGGGTCCGACACCCATACCCCTAGGGGTGCCCAGAGGTCTTCCAGGGAGTACATCAACTCATCTATCAGAGGGGTAGCCGTGTTAGTCTGGATCTGTAAAAAGCGACAGAGTCCTGTGGCACCTTATAGACTAACAGACATATTGGAGCATGAGCTTTCGTGGGTGAATACCCACTTCGTCAGACGCATGTAGTGGAAATCGACTCCTCTAGAGATTTGCCTGGCTTTACTACAGGCTACACAAACAGCTCTAGCGAAGTCCATACAAACTAAGATTTCATACAGTGACTTGTTTATATGGCTCTATATACTAGACACTAAAATGTCAGAACACAATTTATGTTCCAGTTGATTTCTTTTATAATGAGATGGTGAACATGAGACCGGAAGCCCCTTGTCAGTAACAGTGTGGCTGGGACATCTTTGTATTTTTCTGCCGGATTTAAACAAGTCGTTTTTAAGTGCAAGACAAATCAGCGTCCTGAAAGGGGTCTGGAAAGGTTGAGAGCTCCGGGTGTGGACGTAGATTCGGATCAAACAGGCACGGGTGTACATTCCGTTACCTTCCACAAAGTCACTCCGGATTTACACCAGTGTCAGGTCAGAATCTGGCCCGCCCAGACCTTTTAGCTACCTTGGGAACCCAGGCCTTAAACCCAATGACCAGTTTGTGCTAGGAAGGAGGCAAGCTAGATTGTTTGCTGGCCAGGGTTGGCTAGGCACTGGGGTGGCTTGGAATAAATCCAGTGTGAAGAGGGGAAGGGAGGGGGAGATCTGGAGAAGGGGGGGTTCCTCCCCCCGGAGCTGACATCACTTCCTTTGCAGCCTGCCTCCTATTTAAAATCCCGCTGCCTGTCCTCAGATGCAGAGGCAGCGCTGCTCACACACGCGCGAAGGCTGCACCTGTGGGGATTCGGGCACGTTCGCTGGCCTTGGCTCACCAGCCGTTCTGCGGCTGCCTCCCCGGCCCGTTCCAACCCACGTCTGCTGCCCGTGAGCTCCCAGCCCGCCTGCCTTTGCTTTACGCCCGTCGTCGGCAGCAGAATTTGGGCAGCTGTACGGGACTCGCCGCCCGCGCACCATGCTGGCCGTCGGCCTCTGCGTCTTGCTCCTGTCCTGCTGGCACGGTAAGAGCCGGGCAAAGCGAGGCCCAGACTGGGCTAGACACAGCTAGGCGGGTTTTCAGAAGTGCCTAAGTGAGTTAGGCTCCTGGTCTGCTTAGGTGCTTTTGAAAATCCCCTTCGGTGCCCAACGTTGCGTCTTAGGTGCACAAATACCTTTGTAAATCTGCCCCCAAGTGCCTCTTCCATGCCCTGCTGTCTTTGATCATTGTCAGTTTCCGCTGCGCTTTCTGGCTTGAATCATAGATACCAGGGTTGGAAGGGACCTCAGGAGATCATCTAGTCCAACCCCCTGCTCGAAGCAGGACCAATCCCCAGACAGGTTTTTAACCCCAGTTCCCTAAATGGCCCCCTCAAGGATTGAACTCACAACCCTGGGTCAGTCCTGCTTGCCCATTTTCCTGCCTTCTGGGGACGATCCCGCCTGGGCTGGGACAGCGGGTGGCCAATTACTCTTTAAAACGGGGCTGGCGTGGGAAGGTGGCGATTGTTTGCTCCCTGGGAAAACGCAGCCCCCTGGGTGGATCTGCCAGTAATCCATGTTCCGTGCCATCTGGGGAACATGCTGCATTGACAAAAACACACGCGCGCACTCACCAGCAGCCTGGCTTTATGTTTTGGCCGGGGATATTCTGCAGGAGGTGCTCGGCTTGAGGTGGGACGAAGTCCTCTTTTACGCTGGATGGCACCAAATGAAAGTCCGTGTGGGCAGCAGCCGGTGTGTGCCAAGCCCCGGGTGCAGAGGGGGTGGAAGGATTTTCAGCACCCTAGACAGCATCCCGCCCCTGTCATCTGGCAGAGGAATATCTGAGCTGCATGTTAACTATCCCGGTGCTCAAAACGCTGTGCGAAAGCAACGCGCAATCAGCTCCCGTGTTCGGAAGGGGACGGCTTCCCCGGCCGTCTCCTGGGATCCTGCTTGGGGGAGAATTTGCAATTAGTCTGCAGGTTTCAAGGCAAATCCGGATCGGGGCCTGAGGGGACCGGATCAGGGCGAGAAAGGGCTGCTTTCAAACTAGACGTGCTGATATTAATCAGAAGGCCTGTCCGGTCATGGGGGTGTACCAGAGGGAGAGGAAGATTGGATGTGCGGAGCTCCGTGGGTCCCTGTGCGCGCACAGATCTGTGTACACACGAGCGTGTGCATAGAGGGCGTCCGGGTGCCTCTATGCTTGGCTGTGTAGATCTGTACATAGGGGCTGGAACTGGGGGTGCTGGGGACACAGCAGCTCCCCCGGCTTGACGTGGTTTCCACCATATGCCGGGTTTACAGTTTGGTTCAATGGCTCTCAGCACCCCCACTGTCCCCGCACCCCCAGATCGGTGTGTCTGGGGCCGCGTGCGTGAAGGTCTGGGGGGCGATCTGCACACACGTGTGCGTGCATACACGCATGTGCAGTCGGGTAGGTGTCTGTGGCACTCGATCTGCGTGCAGGGCCAAGGAACTTCCTCACGCGGCTGCATTCGAAGGAGCAGCGCTCGGTTCCCATCCATTTCTGCGGGGCAGACTTCACTTCGCACCCCCCTCAGGCTTTCCCAGCCGTCTCCGAGCAGGTCACGGTCATTACAAAGCCAAGGGGCCTCATTCTGTTCTCCTGCCAGCATCACCCCGGCGGCGGCTGATTTACCCCAGAATCTGGCCCAAGCTTTCAGGAGCAAAGGCCCGATTTCGGAGTAAGGTGGGCCAAGGCCAGGGCCGGCTCCAGGCACCAGCTTAACAAGCAGGTGCTTGGGGCGGCCAAGGGAGAGGGGCGGCACCTGCGGCAATTCGGGGGCGGCAGCAACCCTGGAGCCGGCAGTGGCGAAGGGCCCCCCCAGCCAGAGCCCAGCCGCTTGCTTTCTCTGTCCTGTTGTGCTTCCTCCGGCATTACATAATATCATTATATAAGGCTAGTGCGTCCCTCGCTGCAGCCTCTAAGTTCCCGAGCAACAGGCCATCCCTTGGCCTGTGTGTGTGGACAGGGCACAACCCCGGGGGCGGAGGGCAGATAGCACGCCCCCTGGAGGGGTGGATTGTCAGTGCATGTGCTGGGGAAGGAGCAGGCTCCGGGGGACTTGTGCATAAGGAAGCTGTTAGACAGGAGGCACCTGGTCAGACTTATTTGCATTATTATTAGTCTTTGCTCTTTGGCTGCATCTCAGTGCTGGGTGAGGGATTCCTGTGGAAACAGCTGCTGTGCTCCAGCCCAGAGGTGGCTGCATCTCAGTAGTGGGTGAAATTATCCACATAGAAGGGTTTCAGATACAACTACTGGCAGGAGTTGGACTCAGGTATAGGCAGAGGGGCCGGGATGGAACGAACTACCCTTTGCGTCTGTCTGGCTGTCGCAGGAAGATCCCAAACACAGAGTCGCTTGGCCCCCCGGCAGGAATGTGCTACCCGGCCGGCATTTGGTTATCGAAACAGAGCCTCGGCCAAAGCCAGCCGGGGCACTGGCCTGCGAGTCAGGAGAACGGGGTTCTGGGCTGGCTCTGCTCCAGGACCTTGAGCCAGTCACCTGCCTGCTCCGTGCCTCAGTTTCCCTTTGTGTCTATTTAGATGGCAAGCTCTTCAGGGCAGGGACCCCGTGTCTCGCTCCGTGTCTGTGCCTGGCCAGACATGGCTGGGGGCTCTGCTCTCGGTCAGGGTCCAGGCGGTGCCTGGCACAACGGGGGGCCCTGATTTCGGGCGGGATCCAGGCTACATTCAGCACAAGGAAGGCCCTGCTCTCTGGCGTGTGTGTGTCTGTGGGGGGGGGCGTCTGTGCAGCATCTGGGGGCCAAGGAGCAGCAGATGCAAGGGAGGAGGACGCCTACGAGAGAGAATCTTTGTCCCAGCCGCTGTGTGAACAGGGGCCGCTCCGCGCCCCATTCAGGGCTGGGGTTAGTTAGTCGCTTCATGTAAACGGATCCAGGGGCTCCACGCCGGCGCTGGGTACAGGAATTGGAGCGCTTCAGATGTGAGCTCAGTCAGCACGGAGGGGGGGGTTCTGAGGGGCCCAGCTATTGCAGAGGGCCTATATAAGGAGGAGAGGGTGGGGGTGGCCCCCCCAAGTTCTCGGCCTGAGGGCCTGGGGCAGCTAGAGTGGGAGAGCAGGGCCTGGAGGACGCTTGGCACGTCAACAGCTCCTTTCCGCAAGGGCACTCCCCCAGCTGGGGGGGTCAGTATCATTCACCCCCCCCCCATGGAGGGGAAATGACTTCGCCCAGGTCGAACTGCAAGTCAATGGCAGAGCTGAAAATAGAACCCAGGAGTCCTGGCTCCCAGCCCCCCCTGCTCTAACCACTAGACCCCGCTCCCCTCCCAGAGCTGGGGATAGAACCCAGGAGTCCTGGCTCCCAGCCCCCCCTGCTCTAACCACTAGACCCCGCTCCCCTCCCAGAGCCGGGGCTCGAATCCTGTGCTGCCTGGGGGCCAGGTTCCAAGCCGATTTGCCCCAGTGTAACTGCGATCGGCACCGGGATTCTGCCCTCCCGCTGTACCCAGGAATGCAGCCGCCTGCTGCCCTGAAACCTCCATGTCGGGGCAGCCGGCCCTCTCGGAACAGCTGACAGATATGCCCCGTGCTAAGGGCAGCTAAGAATAGGTGGGCACCTGCTACTGGGGCGTGCAGCCCCCGCTCCACAGCCCTTTACCACCTGCTCTGCCCCTGCCAGAGAAGGCCCCATTGGATCCACTCTGAAGAGCCATCAAGCGCCGGGGGTCCATGGGGGGAAATCTTTCCGCTGGGTTTTGGATCAGGCCCTGAGGTGCCCCGATTTGCGAGCTGCATGGCACGAGTTCTGGGGCATTGGCAGCTGCAGGGCGTTCGAGGAAGGACGCACGGCTAGCCTGGCACGCCGGGGCCTGTGCAAAGCCGGGCAGCTTCATCTCCCCTTCAGCCTCCTCCTCGGAGGCCTTGGGACGCCACCAGCGTTAGCCTCCTTTGGCCACAAGGGGGCGCCTTTGCTATTCCAGCACTCTGACTCCACAAGGACTCTCCTGTGTGTTATGCAGCCCCCTCTAGTGGCTGGCTCACATATGAGGATAACAGCCTACTGCTGCTAGCAGCTGATGGGGCGAATCCTTTCGCTCAAAGCGATAGAGACCTGTGCTTTTAACAAGGAAGCGGGTTTGAGTCCCATGGATGTGCCATCAGTGAGAGGTCTGTATTCTTTCTTTCTTTCTCCCAACCCCTCTATTTCCCCCTCATTGACAGCAACACACCTGTCTGCCTGTAAACCCACCGGCCTTCAATCACTCGGATTGCTTTGCTCTTCGCTCAGAAACAAAAGCCCAGGGGGTTATTTTGCCCGAGACCTTGCTGTTCTGCCAGCAGCCCCTGCGGGGACCTCATTATAATGATGGCAGCGATCACGCAAAAAGCTTTTCTCTTCGCTGCGGGAGCAGAGCCCGGTGCATTAAAACTGCATGAGGCGCAGCTGTTTCAGGGAGCCAAAAAAAATAATTGGTGCCTGGAGGGTGGTTAGCATCGGGAAGGCAGAGCCACTGCGTACGTCACAGCGTGTGCTAAGTGAGGGGTAGGTAGACGGGCAGGGAATGGGGTTTTTTTCCACCTCTATCGTCACCTCTCTCATTTGTCTGAGCCTGGATTCCTGGATTCATTGCAGTTGTGAGGCTGCAATGAATGACCCCGCGAAGGAGTGCGTGTGACCTCGGGGCGAGGCCTTCTCTGGGTATGTCCACACTACAACCAAAGGGGTGTTACTAACTCGGGTTAAAATAGCAGTGAGGACGCAGCAACTGGAGTTCAACCCCAGCTTCCCCTACAGGCTTTGCTCAGAGTTAAAACCTGCCGCCGTGCCTCAGTTTCCCTCCCCCGCTTGTTGTCGATATAGCCTGTGAGCTCTTTCTTCTCACTCTCTGTGTCTGTGCAGTGCCTCGCACAACAGGGCCCTGGCCTCAGTCAGGGCCTCTAGGCACTACCCTAGTACCTGTAATAAGTGATATGATTGTGCGCTTTATTTATATGCCGCACTTTTCACGCACAGATCTCAAAGCTTCGGTGGGTTAGAACTTGCACCCCAATTTTTACAGGTGGGGAAACTGAGGCACAGAGCAGGGAATACAAAGGTCACCCAGCCAAGTCTGTGGCAGGGCTGGGAATAGAACTCAGGCATCCTGATTCCTTGTCCCCACGGTTCTAACCCCTCCCCCTCCCAGAGTTGGGATTAGAACCCAGGAGTCCTGACTTCCAGTTTTCCACCCTCTACTCTAAGCTGCTAGGCTACAATCATCTCTCAGAGAGTGCCTGTCTGATCTTGGATAAATTATTTAAAAAAAAAAAATCAGTGTGCCTCAGTTTCCCTTTCTTTGAGTTGCCTATTTAGATCATAAGAGTCTGGGGGCAGGGACTGTCTCTTACTATGTATCTGTGCAGCACTTCTCACAGTGCAGCCCCGGTTTCAACTGGAGCCTCTAATGGGTTACGGCAATACCCCTAATGATGAAAACACCCTAGAAGTGGTAGAGCGCCTGCGTTCTAGCGATTGCATTGCTGGCTAATGAAAGCATGTAATAATATCCGGCCTCCTCTCTTTTATTTTGCAGCCGATTCGCTGCCGTTGTCCACCCAGCTCTCGGAGGAAGACGAAAAGGTAAGAAAAGAAAAAAATACAGAAAGAAAGAAAAAGAAATTAGACCAAACCAAACATTTCCACTGAAATGAACGAGACGCCTGACGGGGTTAAATTGGGGTCCCTGCTTCAGGAACAGTCCAGTAGAGAGAGCTGGGACTCAGGACACCTGGGTTCTTTCCCCAGCTCTGCCACAGACCCGTGGGGCCTCTCTCTTTGTGCATTTGTTTGGCTTGTCTCTTTGTGGTGTTGCCAACCTCAAACATTCAAAACTCACGAGATTTGTCTTAAAAATCATGAGATTTTTTTAAACTAAACTTTCAGCTCCTTTGATTTACCTTTTGCTGTTTGAGCCTTGTAAGATTCACATGTTCAAGGCTTTTCCCTACAAGCATGCGGGTTTTTTATTTCCTGAAAATTGGCCTAGGAAAAAAAAACTTGGGCATGTTTAGTCTTGACACAAGAAGGCTGAGCGGGGACCTGCTAAGTCTTCCAATAGATTAAGGGCTGTTAAAAAGGAGACAAGGATCCATTTTTCTCCATGGCCGCTGGAGGTAGGACAAGAAGCAATGGGGTTAATCTTCAGCAGGGAGATTGAGGTGAGATATCAGGACAAACTTCCTAACTCTCCGGGGAGTGAAGCTCTGGAACAGGCTCCCAAGGGCGGATGTGAAATCCCCGTCACTGAGGTTTTCAAGAACAGGCTGGACAAACCCTGGTCAGGGATGGTCTAAATTTGCTTTGTCCGGGCTCAGCGCAGGGGGCTGGATGCGATGACCTCTCACGGTCCCTTCCATCCCGACGTGTCTATGATTCCATGAGATTCTGAGGAATTCACGTGATTCCAGGATCTGGGGCTAGCGAGAAATCAGCAAATATCTCAAGAGTCCCACTAAATTCTCGAGAGCTGGCAACGTGCCTGGACGCCGTTAGGGGGAGGAGCTGTCTTTCCCCCGGGCGATTGTGCAGCGCCTGGTGCGATGGGGACCTGATTTTGGCTGAGGTCGGTAGATGCTCCACTAACACAAATAATTAACAACAATTCTCCCCCATCATCTTCCTCTTTCTTCTTCCCTGTGCCACTGAGTGTTCACAGGTGCATATGGGCGTCTATAAGCACGTGGGAGGCAGTGTGAGCTAGTTGGTGGCACATTGGAACAGGACTCGGCCGATTCGGGTTCTCTTCCTGGTTCAACTTGCTGGGGAAGTCGTGGTCCAGCCGCGTGCCTCAGTTTCCCCGCTGTAAAATAGCAGTAATGATGCTGCCCTCCTTTGGAAAGGGCTTTGCGATCTGCCCATGACAAGCGCTAGGGCAGTGGTTCTCAACCAAGGGCCTGGGGGACCGGGAGCAGTTTTCAGGGGGGCGCCAAGCATGGCGAGCATTAGACTCTCCAGGGCCCAGAACAGAAACCCGAAGCCCCACCACAAGGGACTGCAGCCCAGGACCCCGAGCCCCACCACCTGGGGCTGAAGCTGAAGTCTGAGCAGCTTAGCTTTGTGGTGCCCCCTGTGATGTGGGGCCTGAGCAACTGCCCTGCTTCCCACCCCCTAATGCCGCCCTGGCTTTTATATGCAGAAAAACCGTTGTTGCGACCCAGCTGGGCCGTGGAGTTTTTATTGCGTGTCGCGGGGGCCTCGGGAAGAAACCGGTTGAGAACCCCTGCGCTAGGGATTATTATTTATTAATGACGCTGATTATGTCGGCTCTTCGTTTGCGAGGCAGCACAAGACGCCACGGAGCCCCCGCCAACGTTGTAAGGACTCGGGCTGCTGAGAAAACTCAGAACGAACCGGTTCCCCATGGGAAAACGGGGTTTCCTCTCAAGCGAAATTCTCCATGGGAAACGCTCCATTTTGGTGGCATTCTTCCCGCCGGGAAATCGGACCGTTCGACGCCCACCCGAGCCCCTGCAGTGCCTCATGGGAGTTGTATGCTTTCGTCCCCCTCCCACCCCCCATTCTCCTCATGAACCAGACTACATCTCCCATGATGCACCATGGTCAGTTCCTAAAAAAGTTTTGGGTTTTGGCCTTGTCAGGAGAAAAAAAAATCAGCGTTTCCCACTGTCCTGGATTCCCGGGGTCTGGGCTTTCCTTTCTCTCCAGCTGCCATTCTCCGCTTCCCTGCAGAGCGGTGCTGGAAATTGCTGTGTCAAAGTCTCAGCCAGCGGATCTATCTTCCTGCTCCTCCGCTCACCTGTGCTCATTCAGGCCGGTTCTTGGTTTAGCTGTCTGATTCCAGCTGAGACAAAGCAGGGGACGGTTCTGCCGGCCCCTCGTTCCCAGCGGCGCTCAATGGGCGGCCGTACGAATGCCGCAGGGAAACTGAGGCACGCCGCAGGGAAACTGAGGCACGCCGCTGGCTCGTAAAAATATTACCCCCGTTCGTCGCAGCCGTGCGATGGCACTCCCGTTTTCTGATCGCGCTGGCCCTGCGCGGTCGGAAGCTGACAGCCCCGGAAGACGGGAGAGGTGGTGAAACCCCGGGGGGGGAGGAATCTTTGGTGTATTGTCACCGTAAACCCAAACTCACTTTTACCACCCCCTTGGCCAGGTCATCAAATGCATCACGGAGGTTCTGGCTGACACCCTGTCCAAAGCTAGCCCGGTTCCGGTCACCAGCGACTGCCTGAAGATCCTGAAAGAAGGTGAGTGCCGGGGGATGTGGCCGTCGGCTCCTGGGGAAAGCGGAGCTGGCTCGAGATCCAAACACCCCCCTACAGCTCAGCAAGGACTCGGTCCCGTCTGTGATGGAACGAACTTAGAGGGCAGCTCCTGATCACTCTCCGGTTCCTCGGGGCTACCCTGGGAGCATCCCGGGGCCTTGGTGGGGGTGGGTGGGGAAAAGCCCCTTGAGACTCTCGCCTAAGCAAGTGATGTGGAATTGGAGTAAGGGGGTGGATTGGGGGCTTGTCAAGAGTGCACTGCGCTGTGGCTATTCTCCCCACCCCACCGCCCCAGGGCCCAGAGGTGGTGGAGCATGAGCTGAGGACCATGCAGGGCCCAGGACACAGGGAGAGCAAAGGGGGTTATAGTCCCCTCCCCCCATTTCTACCAGAAACACTGGGAATCTGACTGTAATCAGGGCCCAGCTTTTCATGATATGTGTGTACAGCCCCTAGCACCGCTCAGAGAACTCGGGGCGCTACCTTAATTCACTTAGTTAATCCCCCCCCCTCCGGAATTTCCTTTCACTCGGGACCGTTTTCCCAGCTGTCTCTGCACGAGACGTTCCTTGCGGGCGAGAGGCAGTTCAGTGATACCAGCGCATTTGGCTGCTGCTCGTTCCTAGCCCACGTCCTGGGCGGGTCGTTTGCCCGTGGGCACCAATTCGGCACCAGCTCACGAGTGGGGTTCACCTCTTGTCTCTTCCAGACGAGCGGGTCCTGGCCATGTTGCACCATCACTACCTGCTGAAGGAGCTAAAGGAGCTGGTCCATGAAGGTACCTGCCTTGGCCCCCCTCCCTGCACGAATTACAGAGACCGCACTAGGAGTCAGGACGCCTGGGTCCTATTCCTGGCTCTGTCGCCAACCTGGGTCTGGAAAGTAGGTGGCAGCCCCTTGAGGGGAAAGGCCCCATATCCCATTCTCTGTCCCCTCTGAGTCAGCCAGCCCCCCGCCCTAGGGCCGGATCAGAGCCAGCGCCCCCTAGACGGGAAAGGCCCCGTGCCCCTGCCCTGCTGAGCCACCCAGTCCCCCTACCCTGTGGCCAGATCAGAGCTGGTGCCCCCTAAAGGGGAAAGGCCCCATGTCCCATACCCCCCCACCCCGAGCTAGCCAGCACCCCCTAAAGGGGAAAGGCCCCATGT